GCTACAAAATTTCCACATGAAGAGGAAATTAAATTGATTTCAAAATAGAGTAGAAAAATAAAATTTTAAATTGTATTCCCCTGGTAGGAGCACTGATGGGTCCCGCTGACAGGGCTGCCCCCCAGGCCTGAGGTGATGTGGGGGCCCTGGGAGACAGTAGAATCCGTTCTGGAAGTAACAGCTAATCGGTTCTTGGAGGGTTCTTCTAACTCCCTTCCAACAAATATGGGGCACCCACTGTTGTGCTCGGCGCTATTTTAGACACGGGAGACACACTTCTTACCCATATAGCACCCACAATCAGGTATGGGGAGAGAGACAAAACAAGGCTAATAAGAACCGGCAGGTATGAGGGGCAAGGGGTGGGGGGTACCTGCTAAAGTGAAAATAGAAAGGAGGAAAGGTAAGGGACAAGACATTGGCAGGAGCTTGGTGGGTCAGCATCCCCGCTAAGAGTGACCTCGTTGAAGCGCACACACAGCGGGCCCCATTTCTCAGATGCGGAAACTGAGGCTCGCCCTGAGCAGGGGGCGCAGAAGCGGGGGCTGAGGTGGGGCGGGGGCGCGGGCTCCAGGTGCCCCGCCCTAGCTTCATTCATCGTGGACCTGCTGAGTCACGCTGTTGGAAAGGCTGCCCGGCCCCGCCCGCCGCCGCCCCGTGAAATAGCACCGATTCCCTAGCGCCGCTCACTCCCGCGCGGGTCCCCACGGGCGAAGGACGTCCTCCTGTGGCGGGCGCCCTGAGCTGTCTGGTACTGATCTGCCCACCCGGGCCCTTCAGCCCCTACCCACAGGTGAGTGTCCGGCCAGCCTACGGGGTGGGCGGCTGGGCCCGGGTCTGCAGGCCCGGCGATCCGGAGAGACCCCCTGGGAATCCCCAATCGCCTCCACCGAGCCGGGCCTGTTCTCCCTCCGACTGGCCCACCCCCCACGTGCAGGGCGGCCAGGCCGGGCCTCTGCCCACCGCCGGGCCCTAGTGATCGCCGGGCCACGTGACCAGCGAAGAGGAGGCGGAGCTGCAAGGGTTCTTGAGCCTGTTGGGTCTCGCTGCCCCCAGGACAGAGGCTACTGTGCCCACCTCCTGCTCCGCATGGGAAGGTGTCCCTGGGATGGGGATCTAGTGACGCAGGAGGCCCTGGGGCTCCCGTGGGGTCACCTGGGATGAAAGGGACGCTGGGAGTTCACGGCCCGTCCTCCCCCCACCCCCACCCCACCCCCTGTTTGTGGTCCCAGGCTGGTGGGGTGTTTCTTGGTTTCTTTGAGATCTGAGAGGGGTCCTGGGACTGGGCCTGAGTCGCATGGGTATCAAACTAGGGTTTGTGCTTTTGGCGTGGACTCAGACGTTCCTAAGCAGACCCCCACACACATACACACCTCAGTTTTCCCATCTGTGCAATGGGCACAAGAAAACCCACCTTTGGCAAGGCTGTTCTGCAAGTCAGGTGGTGCGAGGACCAGCGACTCGCTCAGCAAGTGTAGCCAGTACAGGTGGCCAGTCTGGGTGCAGTTTTAAAGTAAGGTGGCTTCAGGGGCATCAGTGCCACAATTGTACTCGCAATACCCCCAACCCCCTCACTAGTTCCTTTTCTTTCGTGCTCTCTTGGTTTTGTGAATATTAAATTGCCGATTCTCAATTTAAACTTTTCTTCAGTACCATTTATCATTTTTAATCAGAAGTTAGCATGGAAAACGAATGATTCCAACTTGATCAAATCAAAAAAGGGGGAAAGTGCGAAGCTTTCAGGCATTGGCAGTTACTCTACTCCAGGTGGTGAGAGCTCTCAGGGGTCAGGACTGCAGGGCAGATTTTTTGTACAGGAAGTGACTGCACTGTTGGCCTTGGACAGTAATTTCATGCCTATAGCATTACAGAGAAGTGGGGGGGGGGGCTGGGAAGGGGGAGCACTGGCCTTGGAGTCTTGATGGGAGTGAGACTCCGGTACCTCCTGAAGTAGACAAGCAGTTTGGACTCATCACCTGCCAACAGGGGCCTCCTGCAAGTCCCCCCACCTTGCTGGGTGGTGGAGGACACAACGGGATAGGGAGGTTGTGACCAGGGCAGGAGGCTGTGGGAGGGCAGTGGGTGTCCAGGTTCCATGCATGGCTGTGGGCTCAGTCCAGCCCCAAGCAAGCCCACTGCCATTGAACCGCCTTTGATTCACAGTGACCTTGTTATTCAGAGTGTCCAAGGCTGTAAATCTTTACAGGAGTAGAATGCCTCATCTTTCTCCCAAAGAGGAGCTAGTGAGTTTGAAGTGCCCACCTTACAGTTAGCCAGTCCAGTGCCTTTCCTTCAGTACCAGCAGGATTCCTTGGGCTCAATCCACGGGGATCCAGTTCCGATTCTGTAGCCTCAGTAAACAGCTGCATCTCTCTGTACCTCAGTTTCCCCTTGGGTAAGACGGCAAGAGGTGCCCCCACCACAGGGGCTTGAAGGAGACAACAGCTGGTCCATGCTTAATCCTCGAAACAGTAATGAGGAGCTGAGACAGGGGCCAGTAGACAGAGCTCTGGGCACGCTTGGCTCCCCCATGGTGCAGCCTGGCCTTAGTGGGGAGACGGCCTGCTTTAGGAACAGCCTGGCCTGGAGGGAAGCAAACAGGAAGATTATGGGCTCCAACCCAAACCCCTTACAGACTGTAAAAACTTTGAGCTCCTCTCTGGGCTTTGGTCTTTCCGTCTGTAAAATGGAAGTGATAGTAGCTGCCTATTTAGACTGATTCCACCATTCGTCTGTCAGTTTGTCGTACTGTGATGGCTTGGATGTTGCTGTGATTCTGGAAGCTATGCCATTGGTATATTAAATACCAGCAGGGTCGCCCACAGTGGACAGGTTCCAGCTGAGCTTCCGGACAAAGACAGACTAGGAAGAAGGAGAGACAAACTACTTCCGAATATTTAGTCACTGAAAACTTTATGAATAGCAGTGGAACACTGTCAGATAGCACCAGAACATTGAATAGTGAACCTGATAAATAGTACCAGAACACTGTCAGATCTAGTACTGGAAGATGAGCCCCTTGGTTGGAAGTCACGCTGAATATGCAGTGGCAGCAGCTATGGGCTCATGCATAGCAACAGTTGTGAGGTTGGTGTCGGACCAGACAGTGTTTTGTTCAGTTGTGCAAAGGTTGTGCATAAGGTCGCTATGAGTCAGTACCGACCAAGAGTTGACATGCACAAAGAAGCAACTCAGTGGCGCTTGGAAGTGGCTGCTGGTGATTGTTACTATTGTCGGTGGTGATGATGTCATTTCACAACCCTCCCTTGGGGAAAACCAGACATGGACGTCAGAGGCTGTGTGGCTGCTGTCACTGGAGACACAGAGCTGATCTGGACAGGCATGGAAGAGCACCCACGAGGGAGTCTGCGTCCATGAGTTGCCCTTCCCCCTCCACCACCTCCTTTATTCTGAGCCCCCCTCCTCACTCGAAAGACAGAGGCTACCCAATGCCCGTCAGTACCACCTAGAGGACCAGACTGTCACTCAGTGCAGGTGACTCACAAACTGTTAAGTGCTGTGTGAGGTCAGTGGTTGTTGTCACAGGCAGTGCCCAGCTCCTCTGCCCACCTGCCTGGACACCTGCCCCTCCTGTCCATCTGTGGGAACCTTCCCCCCTTGCATACAGCAGAGGTGACATACAAGCCTCAGGTTGTTGCTGTTGAGTTGTTCATAGCCACCCTGTATAGGGTTCCTGAGGAGCAGCTGGTGAGTTCGAACCACTGACCTTAGGGTTCAAACTGAGCTGTGGTCCAGTGCTTGTCCTACAATGCCACACCAGGACTGCCGTTTGTTGTTAAATGTTGTCAAGTCGGTTCCGATTCATAGTGACCCTGTATAGAGTTTTCAAGGAGCAGCTGGTGAGTTTGAACTGCCGACCTTGTGGTTCAAACTGACTTCTGGTTCAGTGCTTATCCTACAGCACCACACCAGGACCAAAACTATACTCTTACTAAATCAGAGAATTCACATAAAAATACAGGTTCCCACCTTCGCTGGAAGAATTCTCTAGGCCCTAGGGGCTCTGGGCTCACACTCTGGGTGGGCAACCATAGCCCTATCCAGACCTGCTTTAGCGTGTGACCCTGTAGCATATTCTAGTTCCCCTGCAGGGACAGGCAGTGGTATGAAGGTTACAAAGTCTACACCAGACACACTAATTGCGTGACACTAAGCCCCTTCCTCCTGACACTAAGCCTCTCCTAGCACTTACTCCATGGGGTCGCTATGGGGACAAAAGGGAAAGCATGTGCCATCGGTGCCCACAAACCTGCATGTGTGCACAGTGGTTGCTCTAGTCCTCAGACAGCAGCCAAATACACAGTGGCTGAGGCTGCTGGCCACCATTAGCTGGTTTGGGAAAGTGGGTCCCAGTATCTCCAAGTCCTGAGAACCATGGTGGGTCCCTATCAGTGATTTGGGCTGGTGACCAGCAGGTGGCGCTGTTGCTCCAAAGAACAGCAGGCTTTACCCAGAAGCCAGCGATTCTGGCTTGGAGAGTTTCCATGGAAACAGCGCCAGATTTCCGGCCCCCCCCCACCCCCACCGCCAACAACTGTACAAGGCAGAAGATTGTCACTATTCCCGATTTACAGATGATGAAACAACAGGAATGGGCCCGCTAAGAAGCAGTTCAACAGGCCCAAGTTATGGCTCCAAAGTCCATAGGCGATACTGTTGAACCATGGTGGGGACTGGGCAGGGCTTGTCCCTGGGTTGGGCAGGGATGGCCTCTTGGGTGTTAGATACTGTGCTGTGAGCATGCTCACTACCCTGGTCAGTGGGCAGTGAGGCTCAGAGGGCTGGAGGCTGTCCAGCTGATCAGGCTGAGGGAGACAGAGAACTTGCTGGGTGGGATTACTGGATAACTCGGGTCCATTTAGAGTAGAGAGGTTAGTATCTCTCCAGGGAGACTTTGGACTCCATCCTGAGTCCACAAAGGTTGCCCGTCTCCAGGAAGTGACACCCAAACCTGACCTCTGCTCCCAGGTTGGCTTCCATCGCCACGTCCCCTACCAGCTGCAGCCATGAACTCATCAGTAAAGGACCCTCTCAGTACCAGCAGCTCAGAGCCCCTCTCGGCTGTCATCATCGGTGAGTAGGGGGCTCAGGGCAGGGGTGGGCTGGTGTGGAGCACTAGGGTGCTCACACGGGTCTGGCCCCCCTTAGCACCTGGGGTCTTCAGTTTCGCCATTGAATGTTTCTGATGTGACTGGTGTAGTGCTGAGTGACTTATAAAATATCATCCCGTTCGATCCTCTCAAGGACGCAAGAGGCAACAGCAGAAGGGTCCGCCAGCAGAGGCGAGGGCTGGTCTAGTCGCTACATTCTTCAGCTCTGGGTCTGCACTGCCCAGTATGGTGGCCATGGCCACGTGTGGTGACCAACCCCATGGAACGTGGATGGGCCACTGTGAGATGCACTGTGTGTGTCAGGTTGTGGTTAGTTGCCAAGAGCTCTGCCTCAGGGCAAACCCCTCACACACACGCATGGGTGCTGAGCATCCCTGCTCCACAGGGTTTTCAAGCCTGTGACATTTGGAAGCTTGTTTTCTGAGGCACCTCTGTGAGATTTCAAACCTCCACCCTTTCGACTGAGTAGCTGAGCACTTAACTGCTTACGCCCCTCAGGGTCTCCTAAAGTGTACAATACACACTGGAATGCAAAGACTTTATGTGAATATAAAAGTTAAAGTATCCTGTTAATAATTTTGGAAATTTTAATTGGAAGCTAAAATGATAATATCTTACGGCAGATTGGGTGCAAAACTATTACTGAAATTCATATTGCCGGTTTCTTTTTAAAAAATTTTTTTTTTATCTTTTTCCAGTGAGCACTTCAGATTTCAAAAAGGAGCTCTGGTAGCGTAGAGGTTACCAGTCGGGCAGCTAACCTCAAGGTCAGCTAGTTCAAAACTACCAGCAGTTCCGCGGGAGAAAGATAAGGTTTTCTGCTCCCGTAAAGATTTATAGCAGGGTCCTTATGAGTCAGAAGCAATTCACGGCACACCACTTCAGATTTCAAAAGCCCACTACTTACTAAGATTTCTTCTCTAGTTTATCATTTTCATAGAATCTGATCATATATGTTTGTAAAATGAACAAACAAACTGATCCCTAGTTTCATCTCTTAACAATGGAACAGACATATCTCTGCTCCTTGACAGTTTTCCATTTCTTAATGTGGCTACTAGATGATTTAGCATCTCGTACACAACTGCACTTATACGTCTGCTGGACAGTGTTGCAAAGCCACACATGTTCCTGACAGCCTTCTACCATCTTGACAGACCCTTCCTGCCTAGGAAGCCCAGTTGTGACAACTGCTGTCCCCATTTCACAGATGAGGACACTGAGGGTCAGCAAGGGGATGTTACTCTGCCCAGGGAAACACAGCCAGACAGTGGAGGGAGTCAGCCCATGTCTGTGGGATCCCCTGCTCCTGAGTCTGATGCTTCACATGCTCCCAGAATGCATCAGGGCTAACATGTCTGCCCAGTGCTTACCCACTCTGCCCAGGGGACACACAGCAGAAGCATGTGGCTCCTGCCCTCAGGGGCTTGCAAAAAACAAACAAAAAAACGAACAGACGTCCCCTGCCCCCACCCCATGAAGACAGCAGATAAACCCACACAAAGTGGCCATTTAAAAAATCTTTTAATTATCTCCAAGTTTAATTAGTATGCGTTAGATTATTTCAAAGACCATGTTGAATAAACAGTTGGATAACCCAGCAGGTGACTAAATGCTTTTAGTTTACTTGGGGATAGTGTGATTCTTAGAAATCTTTTTTGTATTAAAGTTTATAGAGTAAATTCATTTTCCATTGAACAATTGATACATTTTTTTTTTTTTAATGACACTGGATGCAGTCCCCCATAAAGTAAGTGTACAGACTCTATTTTTTGGTAAGTCAAAATCAGTTAAAACTGCTGGCCATTTCCTCTGGTTCACTGTAATTCTACATATAGGTAATATTCTAAATAGCACAAGATAAGAAGAGAGAGACAGAAAATGACAGATAAGAAGAAGAAGATGAAATCTGACATATTACCACAGGCAGTTGGATGGGCGTTCAGAGTAGGAGGCGACCTCCACTTCCCTTTGGCTGAGCACCCCTCCTGAGCCTCCTCTGTCCCCAGGTTTCCCCACCCAGGCCTTTTGCAATCTATAGTATAATGTCTGACTTGTCCATCTGACCCACCAGACTGCTGGCTTTCATGGGACAGGCTGGTTCTTAGTGATCCCAGACTCTCTATTGTATCCCCCAGGCTTCCCTTGGCCCATGTATGTGTGACTCCTCCCATTTCTACTTTCTGGCTGTGTGACTATGGGCAAGTGACTTAACTTCTCTGTGCCAGATGTCCTCAAGGAGGAAAAGAGTAACAGTTCTCTCACTAAAGTTAACAGGAGTGTTCAGTGGATCACGCACGCACTTTAGGGATCCCGTGGGGCCTTGCACAGCATTTTCATCTGTCAGTTTGTTTTTCCTCTTAGTATTGAAATTACTTAACACAGTTGTTGCTGTGTTCCAACTCATAGCCACCTCCTGAGATGACACAGTAGAATGGCCCCACAGATTTCCAAGGCTGCCATCTTTATAGAAGCAAATTCCGAGGTCTTTTTCCCAGAAAGCCTCTGGGTAGGTCTGAACCACTGACCTTTAGGCTGGCACCCCTTAACCTTTGCACTGCCAGGGCTCCTTTGACAGATAGTGTAAGTGCACAGTAATGTTAGTTTTTGTTAATCCTAGAACTCTGCTGTTGTTGCTGTCTCATGGTTTTCCTATGTCCTCAATAGTTGGTCTTCACTTCTTTATTGACCATGATTATGTACAAGTATGTGGTGGCTCCATGTGGTAAGTACCACACTGCGAGGCACAGGTCTGTGGTTCAAGCCTACAGCCAGCCACTCTGTGGGAGAAAAGATGACGCTTTCTGTTCCTCAAGACTTAAAAAGCTTCAGAAATCCTATACAAGGTTGCTGAGAGTTGGAACCGACTCAACCGTACTTAACTTGTTGTTGTTGTTGTCAGGTGCCATCGAGTCGGAACCGACTCATAGCGACTCCATGCACAGCAGAACGAAACAATGTTCGATCCTGGGCCAACC